TCCTACCTCTCTGCCCTATACATTATTGCCTCATCCCCACTTTCCTTTCCGTATTTCTCATGTCCATCAAGGTCCTTCCTCCTTGGACTTTGTGTTCTCTGTGCCCTTTGCTCGGGAAGCTCAGCCTCCAGACCCTCCTGTTTCTGCAGCATTCAGATCTTGTGGGTCTTGGCCCAGCGGTCCCCTCCATCTGGGTGTCCTTCCCTGACACCAGCTCTATAGCAGCCCACCATTCCCCACATGCGCTCTCAGAGCACCCTGTTTAAAATTGTTTTTCAGGCACTCACCCCATGGCACAAGTTAGAAATGATCATATTTACGCATTTATTTATTGGTGTTTTATCTGTCCTCCCAGGAGGGGGCCTTGTCTCTCTTGGTCACTGCTGTAACCCAGTGACTCGATCAATACCTAATGTACGCCATAAACACTTACGGACCTAATGGACCGATGGTGCTAAACCACTGCAAAGCCCTGCAGATTAAACGCTGTATTGCTTCCCCCACAATATTTGCATTCAGAGCAATAAAATAAAAATGCAAAATAAGAGAATTTCAGTCCACAGCCTTTCATATTTCTTGTAAAAGACTGTTTCAAGATACTGGAATCAATTCTTTTGGTTCCTAATGAAACAGAAGCATCTTTGCAAACAATCACAAATCATAGCAAACTGGACCTTCCTGTCCTTGTACCAGGGGATATAACTGCTGCTTTGTTTGCCCCTGGAGCTCCAGTCACCAGCCAGAGGAAAGCATTAAACAATCGGAGGCGGAAAACAAGTCTGCCTTTCCACTTCATTAAATCATATATCTTTTTTACACGTGAGCCACCAGGCTATAAATCATGGAAGACAGAATGAGAGCTAATTAAAGGGTCAGCTGAGCATATCATTTTCAATTCCTGGCACCCAAAAACTGAGATTGCCAATAACTGTGATAAAACCCAGAGCCTTTGCTAACTAATAAAGCAAGGACTTTCAAGCTGCCAGCTTGCTAAGCCATGTTTTCACACGTAAAATAATCTACATAGAATATAATTCTTATATGGTAATGAAATTTTAGGCATTTATCCCAGAGTGCTCCGTTAAAATATATACTTAGATTTTATTTTATTTTATCTTTGGTAGGATTACAAAGTAAAAACAAAAAAACAAACAAACAAAAAAAAAAACAGTGGATTGTGTTATATTCCAGGTTGAAGTTCACTCCTGAGATAGGAAATATTATTGTTTTTAATGGTATTTAGATGGCATCTTTCTTCCAAAGTACATCCAGGGAAAGCAGGTTAGAAAGAAATTCCACGCGTCAGGAGGGAAAACGAAAATGGAGTTAGACCAAGATGGCCAAGGTCACTAAACAAGTCAGTAACTGTTCTGAGAGCAGAACCTGGAGACAGCTGACTCACCGTGGTTTTCCCTCTTCCAAATACACTGCTTCATTTAGAAGGTATTTTGAAGGTATTCAAGTTTATGTATTTTATATTTGCATTCCCAACAACAAAGAGCTTCCACATTAGTAAAAAAAACTATCTTACTTAGACACGATAATAAATATCAAAACTATTTATTTTCCTTCTTTTAAAGATCTTTATACTGATAGTTATAAATGAAAGCTTGAGATATAACACAATGAAATAGCACAGTCAGATATAATACAAGATTATAGTTTTTAAAAAGAAGAAAGATACTTTCTATCATTATTGTCATTTAATAACTTTAAAAATAAGGTGCATTTTCAGAGGTTTTGCATTATGATTAGAATTTTACCAACTTTAATACTACTTCAGAATCACAGCTAAAATTTCAAATGTTAAATACACCCACAGTGTATTTATTAAATCTTTAAAAATATAAATTTCCAATATTTTCTGTTCAAGTCCTAGGGTAGAAAAGAATGTTTCTCTCTGTGAATACAGAGGTGAACAAGGTGAGAATTAGTGAGTTATACATATCAAGTTTCCAAAGCTATGCCTGTTTCTAAAGCCTCTTTCCAACATGACACACATTTCTCTCTGTGTCCAAGTATAGGAGGTAAAAAAAGAAAAAATAAACCAACACACCAAACAAAAAAGAGCTTGAGCACTACATACAGCATTCAAGAGATTTCTTGGATCTTTCCTCATCTTATGTCTTGAACATGAACTACTGATCACAACACTGACACTTCAGTATGTGCAAAACCAGAAAAACTACACAGGAAATCCTGTCTGTACAACTGATTTGTCTTTTTATCCCTCATACCAAAATCTTCATGTACATGGAGTGCCTCACTTGTGATGACATGGAAAGTGTGGTTAATTTCATTTGCTACTCTTCATCCTAATATCACTACTATAATACATAGGACACCATCCCCTCTGCAGATCCAAGGAAAATGCTTACTGTATTGCCATTTCCAAAAGAAGATTCCTTAGGAAAAGGAAAGCACAGGGATATAAAGCTATATATAGATAGATATATAAATATCTAGATGGCTAAATCTACAAGCAAAAAATAGCAAATGAGAACACTGGAAGCTTCACGCTATCTCTGGTCTGCCCTATTTGAGCACTATTCACTCTGCCTTAAAAGAGAATCAGTAAATTTTGTTTACACGGGTAGAATGCTCACAGAAATGAAATTAAGTTATATAAAACTACCTTTAAAATATATTTTTTCACTTAAAAAAGAGTATGAACCAATATTAAATAGACTAAGAGCCAAATATCAATTATTATTGTAAAAAAAAAAAAGGCATGTTGCTGTCCCTTTCAAAAGAGGAGAAAAACTATCAAGATTTGGCATTTCTACTTGGATTCTTTCGGATAACTCTTCCCCTGAAGAAGATTCATGACTGAATCTATAAGACAATTCCTGAGCTGTAGTCAGCTAATGGCCTCTTACTTATACTTTAAAATTCTTTGGAGACATATTAAAGAACAGTTTCAAACACTCTAGTCACTTAACCATCCCATAATTCCTCAGTCTGTTGCTCCCATTAACCTCCCAACACACCTAACCCCATGGACCTTACCAGAGAAAACTGTGTGCAGATGAAGTCCTTCCCATCACCCAAACCAACTCAGAGCTCGCACCCATTAATTTTCATGGAAAATCATTAGTCAATGAAATGGAAAATTTTCCAGCCAATAGGTCACAAAATAAAATGGCCTTTCTTGACCAGTGAATAAATATCCTTATGCACCATTACTTTTAAATTGAATATTCAATTTTAGGGTACCATTTGAAATGATGTGAGGTAAAACACAAAAATGGACATCTTGTGACATGTCCCTGTGTAATTCAATTCTTTGTCATGTAAATCTTTACCATTCACAGACATTCAAAAATCAAAGTGTTTCAGATGGCTAACTTTATCAGTCCGGGTCCCAGCGAGAAAGAAGTCCACCATTCAATTTGGGAACATTAGAAGAGGGCTTATGTTTAAAGGACTATTTATACACATATAGTCAGGGTATACAGGAGCCACAAGGATACTCGGGAACCAGGGGTTGGAGCAGAGGGAAGGGCAGTTACTGAACCTGGAAAGGAGACGAGACCATGGAGAAGGCCACCTTGAGAGGAACAGTGACCAGCAGGGGACACAGCCAGTCTACGGTGCCCTTCTAGGGGGGATTGGGGGATATATACTCTGATCTCACTCTCCTGCCTTCGTCCTATCTCCTGTCAGCATTTTCCATTAACCAAAACCAACTACAAGGCAGAGACCAAGGGATTCTTTAGATTCAGTCCATGCAGGTCAGCCTTACAGAACAGAGAAGTGATTGAACAAGGTTGAGAGTGGATCTAGAGGGGCAGACAAAAGACATCCATATGGGCAGAGCAGACCACACACACTCCCATTCTAAGATTAAATTACAGATATATGTATAAATACCAGAGAATAAAGGCATTCACACAATGCAGGAATAGATGCAAGTCCCCTAGAACAGCCTGTCTTGTTCCCCGGAGTCCCTAAAAGGCACAGAAGCACTGGCAGTGCAAGGCAACATCTCATTGAGTAAGAGCTGCTCATTCTGGCGACACAAAGTTAAATCCGTATTCAGGAAGATTTTGACATAATGTTCTATGAACACTATGCAAAGGAGTTTGGGTTGTCTATGCACAAAATTGAATCACAGAAGTTCTTTGATCAGAGCAATGCCATGATTACATCTTTGTTCAGAAAGATTTCTGTGGTGGCACTGGGGTGTTCAGATTAGAAGAGGAAAAGAATGAAATCTAGGAGACCATTTAGAAAGCCATTACAACAATCCAGGAGAGAGATAAATTCAGTATTGTCATTCTGTGGCTTATACTTTTAAAAACCCCTGGTGCCTAATATTTTGTGATATATAAGGCCAAACACAAAATTTGTTCCTTCCGTTTTGAAGTTTCTATATTCTCTCACTGATTCGTTTTTGCTTCTTTACCTCCCAGGACCAATCATTCATTGAGTCCTAGTGAGTCTAACTTCTACCTTTCCTCTTATTTCTGCCAGTGCTTTGATAAAGGCCACATTTATAGCACAGACCAGCATTTCCCAAATTATGTGCAAACTGTTCTGGAGGATTCCATGAAAAACGCAAGACTTCTGGACAAATATTTTGGGAAAGTCCTGGGATAAACACATTTGAATCATTTGCTTATATGGCTTATGAATTCCTAGAGAGGGGTTCCTTATTTCACAAAAAATCTGGTGACATCTCCATATACAGCGGTATAACTCAAAATATAGATAGCAAAATGCTGGCGTGGACAAACTATGGTTGTCCCAGCATTTCTGTAAAACTTCAGTTAGGCGGCTGACATTTTTGTATTTATTGCCCCCAGGAAAGAGATTACATAGCGCAAAGCAAGGAAAAAGGTAATCAATTCTTGCAGTTTGAGTTTCAAACATTAAGGGAGCTCATGGGCAACAGACTTTGAAGAACATGAGTAAGAGCAAAGCTTCCTACATTTAGACTAGATAAAAGGAAGGGAGAGGGAAATAGTCAAAGGGTAAGTGAGAGAGTTTCAACTTACGTGGGTACCTGAAAAGGGGACCCAGGTCCCAGCCCATTCACCAGCTCTGTGCTCAGCCATGATGGAGGTAGAGGTAACAGAAACTCCAGAAGATTTGGTGGAGCTAAGGGAATCTGTGCGTTCCTGGAAAGATGGAGCCCTGAGAAAAAAACAAGACTGTAAATAAAATGGCTAAAATATAATTTCATATCTATGTTGGGATTTTTCAACCTCAGTACTATTAACATTTTGGTCCCAATAATTCTTTGTTGTAGAGGCTGCCCTGCGCATTGTAGGATGTTTATCAGCATCCCTGGCTTCTATCTACTAGATGACAGTAACATAATTGCCACCCCCAACTGGGACAACCAAAAATGTTTCTAGACATTGCCAAATGTCCCGGGAGGTAAAATTCCAGTTGAAAACCACTGGTCTGGGTAGATAGAGTACTGTCTCAGAGAGTTTCTACCAGGTGCAGTATAGGTTGTGAGTACCTAAATGAATCATTCTGGAGGATCCAGAGCATGGACAATGTACTAGAACATGAATAAAGAAAAATAAATGCAATGGCAATGGATGCTAGAGAGGGCTGATCATTCCCAAGGACAAAATGGTGCACTCCCCAAGATGCCTCCACATTATAGCTGTGATGGTTAAGACCAGAGATACTGAAGCATCCTAGGAGGCAAGCTATCTAAGTTCAAATCCCAGGTCTAACCATTAAGAGCTTTTTGACTTTGACAAATCACTCAACTTTCTGAGACTCAGTTTCCTTGTCTGCAAGATGAAGTTAAGAGCATATACCATATAGGGTTAATATAGCAATTAAATGTGTTAAAATTTGTGAACTTCCTGCTCTTTACAATAAAGTTTTGAATGAGTGGTACTTCTTATCATGTTTATAAACATGCCCTGGAATTAAATCCAAGTCAGAGAAGAGTATGACCCTGGATTGTAAATAAATTTCTACCATCAAATCCAATGAGGCTCACAATAGAAACTGAAATTCATAGTTGGTCTCTCTGCATCCAGTCTAAATTCTCTGTTTGCACCCTTCAATGTATCTTCATACCACCACTGGTCATCATATTAAACTTCAAATCTAATCAGACAATGGGTTTCCCATTATCCATAGCTATGGTCACAGAGAGATGCTTCAATAATTCAAGGCTGTGTGGAGGACAGTATGGCATGAGGATCCAATGGGTTTCTGTAGGAGATTTTATATAAAAATTCTGTGTTCCAAAGATATGTCTGAAACTCATTGGCCTACTAGATGAAGATTCCACCAGATGGCAGCCAAGGCCACCCATGAGTAGCCCTTCCCCATCCATCCAACTGCTCATCAACACAACCCCATGATCCAGCAGGAGACAGTCACTGGTACACAGTACATGTGCCATTAACTTCATAGTTTAGCACATGCTATTTCATTTGCTTGGAATATGTTTCTCTATCCTACAGAGGGGATCTTTTGCTGTGAAACATGGTCAGATTTGAATGTTTGAAAGAAATGCATGACAGGAGGACTTTTGAGACTTTGGTACTGGGTCAGGGGCAGGGGGCTGCTTCATGTGCTGTAGGACTCTTAACCAAGGCTGGGGGTCCCTATGTAAAATGCACAGCTTCTCTAGATGATCACATTCCCCCACAAAGTTCTGCCACAGCACTGGGGCACTCCAAAGAAGCAGACCATTGGATCAACTAACCTTACAAAATCAACCTCTTTTGCTGTTCTTTCATATTTCCCTGCTTCCCCTTCGCATAAGTCCCTGCTATTCTTTCCTCCCAGGATATAGTCCCCTCAAGGGGCCTTCAGAACACCAAAGCCAACCTCATTTCTAATGTATAGGCAACTTCTGCTTTCATCTCTACAATGCAACTCTCCCCTGAGGCACACGGAGCACAGAGGCCTGGCTGCCTGATGCAAAAGCAAGGAAACACACATCTAGAGTGAAACACCACTGTGTCACAGTGAATCAGCATTCCACCTGTGTGTGCATCTCAGTGGTCACAACTTCTTTCTTTATACTTTTCTAAAATAAGTTTAGAATAGTTTTTTGGTCAGAAAAATATACTATTAAAAGAAAAGTCCAATTGGTACACACATCTATGTTACAACACCATCATTCAAGTTAAACTATAACATAGGTAGATGACAAAAAGCAGTGCCTTGCCCAGTAGCTGCCTTCTCCCTTTTGCAATCCTTCAACCTGTTCACTTGGTGATGAAAAATGCTGCTATTACCTCGGAGGGTCCCCACTCATTGCCTTCATTCGTGCAGTTCAATGCCACAACCCATCAGATCACCTCCTCCTCTGTCCCGTTTGGCAGCCAGTCTCAGGACTGCTGCTGGTTTCCCATCTGTCAAACCCAATCTATCTTCAACACTGAAGCAGGGCCTGGAGAGTGGACTGAGCAAAGACAACGAAGGCACACTGGGTTCACCCTCAATTTGACTGACTTTGAAAGGAGAAGGAGTGCTAATGACATGGAAAAGTCTCTAGCAGGGACTTGCTTCCTGGCTTTGCAAGAGTTTGGCTAGAAGTGGGCTTCCAGCCTGGGAGATAACAACCCCATACAGTCAACAGCTTGTGTCGTTTTCCCAGCTACAAGGATTCCTTTAACCCTAGCAAAGGGGAGCAAGGTAGCATCCATTTTGAACAATTCTGTGTAGTGTGCCCATACTTCTTGTGATAGCAGATTGGTCCAAAGAAGATACCTAATACAAGCTAACCAATTAGATAGAATGGTATATGCCTGCATAGCCTCCTGGGAAATGGAAACCAATGAAATTGCCTCTCCCATTTCCTAGTTGTAACCTAAGGTAAGGCATTTAACCTTGCTTGGTCTATTTCTTCATATGTAGAAAGAACAGTTGAACTAAAGATGTATAAATTTTCTTTTTGCTCTTTTACGGTTTTCATGATGAAGGTCAGTTGTAGAGTCAGTAAGGCCTGGGTTCAAAATCATGGTGTGTCAGTCACTAGTCTTATAACCAAAAAAAGTTCCTCAGCTTCTTAAGTATCAGTTTCATCATTGTAAAACGGAGATGATAATAGTACCTACCTTGTTATTAAATGACATAATACATGCTAAGTGTTTAAAACACAACCACACAGTAAAGCAGCCTACGCCCTCTAGTTACTATTGTTATTGTTGATATTTCTATATGAAACATAATTTATATTTTTTAAAAGGAAAAACACCAACCAAGGTGAAAAACACCATAACTGTTCAGTCAAATGAACTTTTGAATAAGATCCAAAAATTTGGCTCAACATTAGTGCAAAGAGCTGTGGAGAAGAAGAACAAACAATCAATATTACTCTCCAGACATGTGAACATGTACAGGATGTTTAATTATGACCCAAGAAAAAAAGGTAACACTATTTGTCTCCAGCTCTATCACAGAACTTAAATAAAAATTTAATAACAAATGGTACTCCAAATACAAACAGCATTAGGTAAAATCATAACTCTCTAATGAATGATAAAGTTTATAAGCTACTCAACTTGGAGAACCATGCTGAAGAATTATTTTTTCCATTGTCTTTCTTTGTAAACTTGTCTTGATGACATATACAATATCAATGTAGCTGGAATATTCCTTCCTTCTTATGTCAAAAGCATAATGCTCACTACTGCAACACTATATAAGATTGATTATCTCAGATCCAATTGATTTTCTCACTCCAAAAATGACCCTAACACCCCTAAAGGTGGTAATGTTTTAAAACTCTCAGAATAAACTAGGTTGTCTATTGAGAATATTTTTCTCTACATAAATGGTACACTCCAGCAGCAACTTATTGACACAGATTTACTTATATATGTAGCCTTATCCCAGTTGAGGTCTTTGGTGAATCACATGATCTGACAGGGTACAATGCAATGAATTGAAAAAAGGTAAAAGAATATAAGACAAGTAAGTGAGAAAAAATAATACTAAAAAAGCCAGTGCTGCATAATGTGGTGTAACATAATGACAGCCTGGAGAGATGGAAAATCTCAGCAGTAGATGCGCTGCAGTTGAAGAAGGAAGTTGACCCACGGTACTTCAGCCAGAAAAAAAAATGTCATTCCACCTGTAAAACTGAAAGCAAGTGCCACAGAAATCAACAGGGACAGGAATCAAAGATAAAGTCATCATACAAAGGGCATGTTGCATCTGCCTCTCACATAAAAACTGTATGGATCACATGCATCATATATTTCACATGTAAAGACTGGCACTCTTATTCCATTTTCTGAGCTCGTATGTGCAAAGCAACATGTGCACAAATGACCCTTTCAGATGGTCACACCAGGAAACTGGCAAGAGTTTCCCTATTTGGGGGATCATAGGGACTCTGAAGGAATGTAAGGACTAACTCATCCATTATCATTTAATTTACAACTTGATATCAGATGCCCTAGAATCCAGAGTATGTTTAGGTGGTCCTAAATATCTCTGAACCAAATAAATCACTGTCATCTGTCCCATTCAGTTATGTTGGCACTATCAAGAGTTGTCATGTTGT